GGGCATCCCAGCTCGACCTCGCGTTCGGAAACTTCATGCTGCACCTCGACTTTGCTTTGCTCCTCTTCGACGTTCTCGTGAATGTCCTCACTGGCAGGAGGTGCTCGCTGTGTGTCGTCCACTGTGGCATCTGTCGCATGCATGGAATCCGGTGCACCACTCTCGATCTCTGGCACTGCCAACTTTTCTCCCTCCTGCAGGATCGCGACTGAAGCACTCTCCCTGGGCTCGACATTCTCCACCTGGTCATCCACAGCCACCTTGGCCGGCTCTATGCTCTCTTCCTCCTTGATTTCCTCGTGTGCGGGTAAGACGTCATCCACTTTCGCGGTTGGTACTTGAGCTACAACTGGCTCGGCCGGTTGCACCTCTTTGGCAGCCTCTTCAGAAGCCTCAGGCACGGCCTCTGTCTCGGGAACGGCCTCAAGCACAGGCTGTGGCTGCTGGACTTCTTCGTTCCCTGACTGTGGGAGTTCTTCTACTGGGACGGCAAGCTCGACCTTGCGTTCGGAAACTTCATGCTGCACCTCGACTTTGGTTTGCTCCTCTTCCACGTTGTCGTGAATGTCCTCACTGGCAGGAGATGCTCGCTGTGTGTCGTCCACTGTGGCATCTGTCACATGGATGGAATCTGGAGCAGCACTCTCGATCTCTGGCACCGCCAACTTTTCTCCCTCCTGCAGGATCGCGACTGAAGCACTCTCCCTGGGCTTGAAATTCTCCACCTGGTCATCCACAGCCACCTTGGCCTGCTCTATGCTCTCTTCCTCCTTGATTTCCTCGTGTGCGGGTAAGACGTCATCCACTTTCGCGGTTGGTACTTGAGCTACAACTGGCTCGGCTGGTTGCACCTCTTTGGCATCCTCTTCAGAAGCCTCAGGCACGGCCTCTGTCTCGGGAACGGCCTCAAGCACAGGCTGTGGCTCCTGGACTTCTTCGTTCCCCGACTGTGGGAGTTCTTCTACTGGGACAGCAAGCTCGACCTCGCGTTCGGAAACTTCATGCTGCACCTCGACTTTGCTTTGCTCCTCTTCCACGTTGTCGTGAATGTCCTCACTGGCAGGAGGTGCTCGCTGTGTGTCGTCCACTGTGGCATCTGTCGCATGCATGGAATCCAGTGCACCACTCTCGATCTCTGGCACCGCCAACTTTTCTCCCTCCTGCAGGATCGCGACTGAAGCACTCTCCCTGGGCTCGACATTCTCCACCTGGTCATCCACAGCCACCTTGGCCGGCTCTATGCTCTCTTCCTCCTTCATTTCCTCGAGAGCGGGTAAGACGTCATCCACTTTCGCAGGTGGTACTTGAGCTACGACTGGCTCGGCCGGTTCCACCTCCTTGACAGCCTCTTCAGCAGCCTCACGCACGGCCTCTGTCTCGGGAACGGCCTCAAGCACATGCTGTGGGTCCTGGACTTCTTCATTCCCCGACTCTGGGAGTTCTTTTACTGGGACAGCAAGCTCGACCTCGCGTTCGGAAACTTCATGTGGCACCTCGACTTTTGATTGCTCCTCTTCCACGTTCTCGTGAATGTCCTCACTGGCAGGAGGTGCTCGCTGTGTGTCGTCCACTGTGGCATCTGTCGCATGCCTGGAATCCGGTGCACCACTCTCGATCTCTGGCACTGCCAACTTTTCTCCCTCCTGCAGGATCGCGACTGAAGCACTCTCCCTGGGCTCGACATTCTCCACCTGGTCATCCACAGCCACCTTTGCCGGCTCTATGCTCTCTTCCTCCTTGATTTCCTCGTGTGTGGGTAAAACGTCATCCACTGTGGTAGTTGGTACTTGAGCTACGACTGGCTCGGCCGGTTCCACCTCCTTGACAGCCTCTTCAGCAGCCTCAGGCACG